AAGAACAGACATACAGACCAATGGAATCGAATAGAAAATCCAGAAATAAACCCACAGATTTATGGTCAACTAATCTTTGACAAAGGAGCAAAGACTATGCATTGGAGCAAAGAAAGTTTGTTCAATAAATGGTGCTGGGAAAACTGGGTCGCTACATGCAAAAGAATGAAGCTTGACCACTACCTCACACCATACACAAAAATCAACTCAAAATGGATTAAAGAACTAGACATAAGACCTGAATCCATAAAATACATAGAAGGAAATATAGGCGAAACACTACGGGATTTGCACATCAAAGACATCTTTACAGACACATCACCCAAAGCAGTGATAGTGAAGACAAAGATAAACAGTTGGGACTACATCAAATTAAAGAGCTTCTGCACAGCAAAAGAGACAATAACAAAAACAAAGAGAAACCCCACCAACTGGGAGAACATTTTTGCACCCAACACTAATGATAAAGGACTGATCACAAAAATCTGCAAAGAGCTGATGAGACTCAGCAACAACAAAGAAAATAATCCAGTCAAAAAATGGGCAGAAGAGCTAAAAAGAAACTTCTCTGAAGAGGAAATGCAAATGGCCAACAGACATATGAAAAAATGTTCAACATCACTTGCAATCAGGGAAATGCAAATCAAAACTACCATGAGATACCATCTCACACCAGTGAGAATGGCACATATTAAAAAAACTAGCAACAACAAATGTTGGCGAGGATGTGGAGAAAAAGGAACTCTTCTGCACTGTTGGTGGGAGTGCAAACTGGTCCAACCACTATGGAGAGCTGTGTGGAGATTTCTGGACCTACTAAACATAGAGCTTCCATATGATCCAGCAATTCCACTCCTAGGTATTTACCCAAAGGACACAGAAACATCAGTTCCAAAGAGCACCTGCACCCCTATGTTTATAGCAGCACTGTTTACAATAGCTAAGCTTTGGAAACAACCCAAATGCCCAAAAGTAGATGACTGGATCAAGAAGATGTGGTACATATATACCATGGAATATTACTCAGCATTCAAAAAAGATAAACACATGCAATTTGCAGCAACATGGATGGCGCTGGAAGGGATCATGCTCAGCGAAATAAGCCAAAAAGAAAAAGAAAAATACTGGATGGTCTCACTCATAGCAGGAATCTAGAAAACTTAAATAAGGGACCAGGAAAATGAATATAAGAAAGTGAAAATCAAAATCAACAAAAAACTATGAACCAGAGACACTTTTTGGGGGGTGGGGGGCGGGAGGGGAAGGATTGGGGTCAGAATGGGGCGTTTGCAATTGTATGGGGGAATATAAAAATAAAATTAAGATTAAAAAAAATAAAAAAAAAAAAAGACTGAACAGAGAAATGAAAACACAAAAAAAAAAAAAAAAAAGAAGACACACAGACATGGAAAGATATTCCTTGCTCATGGATTATAATAATCAACATTGTTAAAATGGCCATTTTACCAACAGGAATATCCAGGTTCTATGTAATCCCTATCAAAGTTTCAAGGCATTCTGCAAAGAGATAGAGCAAATGTTACTGAAATATATATGGAACCACAAAAGATCCTGAACAGCCAAAACAATCCTGACAAAAAAGAACCGAGGTAAGGTATCACAATTTAAGACTTTAAACTATACTACAAAACTACAGTAACCAAGACAGTATGGTATTGGGATAAAAAAAATAAATGGAACAGAATTGAGACCTTAGAAATAAATCCACACTTATATGGAAACAGGAGCCAAGAGTATACAACAGAGAAAGTCTTTTCAACAAATGGTGATGGGAAAACAATAGCCACATGCAAAAGAATGAAACTAGATCATCATCTTGCACCTTCTACAAAAATTAACTCAAAATGGGTTAAAGACTTTGATGAAATATATAGAGCTGTAAAATACACAGGAGGAAAAAACCCCACAACACTGGTTTCGATTCTTTGGGAACTTGACTACAACAACAAGGGAAACAAAAGCAAAAATGAACAAATGGGAGTATATCAAATGAAAAAAGGTTCTGCACAGCAGAAGAAACTATCATTTGAACAAAGACACCCTATTAAATGGGAGAAAATATTTGCACATGACACATCTGACAAGGGGCTTATACCCAAGTTCTACAGAGAACTCACACTATTCAATAATGAGAAAAAACCCAACCCAAAAAATGGGGAGAAGAATTAAATAGACCTTACTCCAAAGAAGACCTACAGATGGGCAACAGGTATGTGAAAAAGTGCTCATCAGCCCTTATTATCAGGGAAATGCAAATCAAAACCACAATGAGACACCACCTCACACCTGTGAGAATGGCCTATATCAAAAAGGCCAGAAACAATTAGCGTAGGTGCAGATGTAGAGGAAAAGGAACTCTTGTACACTGTTGGTGGGGAAGTAGACTGGTCCAGCCCCTGTGCGAAACAATATGGAGGTTTCTCAAAACATTCAGGATAGATCTAACATGTGGATTCAGCATGTCTACCTGAAGAACACAAAAACACTAATTTGAAGGGATATATCAACTCCTATGTTCATTGCAACACTACATACAACAGGCAAATTACGTCCACAACCATAAGTGTGACCAATCACAGATGAGTGGATAAATAAGATGTGGTCCATATATACCATGGAATACCATGCCGTCAAAAAAAAGGCGAAACTTGCCATTTGCAATTATATAGGGATGATAGTGAAACAGCTCAGAAGGAGAAACACATATTCGAGGCTCTGTGTCATATGTGGAATATAAGGAAATAAAACAATGGAACAGACTAAACCAAAACAAATCCTAGAAAATCTGAAATTGATGCTACGAGAAGGGTGGGAGGTAGAAAAAAGGAGTAGAGGGACCCAGTGGACTGTGATGGAGGCTTATTAGGGCTTTGGTAGAGGTGTGGTGTGGTAACATACATCTGAAAAGGTGTCAACCTAGACCTGTAAATCATATACAGTGTTGGAAACCATTGTCTCAATAAATTAAAAAATGCAATTTAATAAAACCAGGTTTACAAATAATACTGAAAAAAAGCAAATGTTTGAAATATAATGAAAACATCAGAGTGAACACATTGACTGATTTTGCATTCATCTTGTACAAGATGGACTATTTGCCCTGGAAGAGCTGTCTTCAGCATATAACTTCTGTTCTGTTAGATATCCTAGGCGCTAGTCTTTATTTTGGGAGGTTTTTATGTTGACATTGGAACTTTAGGACACAAAGTACTGCTTTCCCATGTAATGGACATGTTTATGGATTATCATTTCCTAAATCCTTGTAACTTCTCTACTGTAGGTTTTGTAGTAACAGTAGATAATATACATTTTGAAGTCAAAATAGAGAGACAAACAAACAAGCAACCTGGGCTGTCTGTCCTCTTCTTATTGAACTGCCAGAGTTCTTCATGAGTTCTGGATACAAGGCCTTCATCTGGTTTCTGATTTGCACATATTTTCTCCCAGTGTGTGATTTGTCTTTTCATTTTCTTACTTGCAGTTTTGAAACATTTAAGTTTTTCACTCTGACAAGGTCCACTTTGTTGATTTTTTCCACGTCATGCTTTTGTTGTCATATCTAAGAGCCAGTGTCCATGGTCATGAAGATCTGCTCTTATAGATTTTATTTTTCAAAAGGCACAGATGGCCTCAGGCACAGGAAAAAGTGCCCACCAGACTGACCATCAGGGAAATGCAAATCAAAACCATCTCACCCCCGTGAGAATGGCCCAGATCAGAAGGCCAGAAACAAGCACGGGCGAGGCTATGGAGAGAAAGCAACGTTGAGTGTTTTCTCGTGTGCCTATGGCCATTTGTCTGCCTTCTTTGGAGAGTGTTATCTCCTCTGTCCGTCATTCTCTTTCTGTTGTGTGGTACAAGTTCTTTGTAGATCTTGGATATTAGTCCCTTGTCAGATGTATGATGTGCATTTGAGGGTGTCTTTCTTTTTTACTGGTAGTTTTTTTCACTATGCGGAAGCTTTTATTTGATACAGTTCCATTTGTTTATTTCTGCTTTCGATTTGCTTCCCTTTGGGCTCTCCAAAGACATCCTTGAAGCCAATATTGTGGAGTTTGTTTTCTTCTATGTATTTAATGGATTCTGGTCTTTTTTTATTTTTTAAAAAAAAATTATTTACTTATGCATGTAAGAACTGGGGTATAGGCGGAGGTGCGGGGGTGGTAGTGGTGAGAGGATTCACCAGAGAGAGTGGGGAGCAGAACAGGCAGATCCACTGAAACTCACTGCTGAGGGGAGCAGTGGGTGAGACAGAAGAGGTCTGCTGAGTCTGGATTCTTATCTTATATCCAAGTCTTTAGTCCATTTTGAGTTGATGTTTTCAATTCTATAAAATCTCTTTGCTCTTTTATTTACCTTATTCAATGTATTTGAGCTTTTCCCTATTTATTTTCTGTGTCCTTCCATTTCTCTCTGCTTCATACTCAGACCTAGCATCTAATTTGTTTTTTTCACATGCATCTAATTTAATCTGTTGTTGATTACATTTTCCTTCGAAAGAAATTCTGTTTAAGCTCTTCCATTCTTTTAACACTTAAACATGGTCTTTCAGATGACTGAATCACAGGATTTCTTGGGGGGAGCTAAGGCACTTATATTTGCTGACTCACCTTTGCCTCATTTAAGAACAGTGGAAACTCTGCACAGCTTAGATTTCAGAAGAGCCAGGCTCTTCTGTGTTTGCTTTTTGTCAAGTGCTCTGAGCTCTGGGGTCTAATATTTGTTTCTTGCATCACTTTTAGACCTGAGATCAGATCTCTCCTCCTTGAACAGGCCTCACTAAACTACCCCCTTGATTATTAGGTGGCTCCAGCATGGAGGAAGCAGTTTGCACCTCAGTTACTCCCCCTAAACTCACTCCACCCTGGGGGTCAGATTCCTGCCTGGAGACTCCCCGGGTCACTTCTCAGTGGCCTCCAGCAATGCACAGGACAGCAGAATGCACTGTCCTCAACACACTTTGGGTCACTGTTTTTCAGGCTCGTTTACGTTGCAGGCCGTGAGGGCCACATGCTCAAGTTGCTCTCCTACATCAGTGTCAGGCACCTGACTCCAGCCCCTGCCATCATCTTTTATGTAAGTGTGAATTCCGCCATGGAAACATCCCCTTTCTTGTCCCCCAGTTTCAAGAAATTAAACCTGTATTGCAAACCCCAGTAGCTTTCAAATGCCCCAGGTTCCCGTCATCCTCAACATGACAGTTCTGCCAACCTCTCCTTCTTCTGAATTTGTCTACAAAGGAGCCTATCTGAATCTTTCAGGTGTGTCCCCTCATACATACACTATGTATGTTTCTATGTTCTGGGTCCCTGGTGATAAGTCATACAGAAATCCACATGCTATCAGGGAAGGAGAATAAGGCATTTTACAGTTTCTCGTGTGGTCCCAGAGTTCAGAAGTCATTGTGCAGTAAAGGCCCTTTGAAGACTAGACAGGTTCCTCTGTGGGGCGTAGACCGTGGTTGTGTGCAGCTTTCTTGGGCACCCAGGCCCTCAGTTCAGGGCCAGACTCCACTTCTCTGCCTGGTAAGACCCAGATGAGGAAACAGCCCCTGAGAGTCAAGTGCAAGCTGAGGGGTGTGCAGCTGAGACAGGCCAACATCGGGCCTGGACAGCCTGAGTTTCACAGTCCCAGGGCCTCTCCTGTGGTGAAAACTTTCCGGAAGGAAAATTCATAATTAGAAAGAGGGTATGATATACATAAATATTTTGTTTTTCCTCTGCTTAAAACTGTAACTTCAAAATGTACCTATTTCCCAAATCTTTTCATTGGGTTCAAAGAGACCACCTATCACAGCCAAAACCTGGCTTTTAGCCCCCAATATAGTGGAATACACAGGCACTTTCATTCATTTGGAAGTGTCTATCCACAGGAAAAACTACCTCTTCAGCCTTCTGTGAAATGACAAGGATCACATTTTTATGCACTAATAACCTATACATTTTTTTTTCTACTAGGGTATCATTGCGACTATTTACATCATCCCTGGTAACATAAACTCATTAGTCAATTACTTCAGTTTTGCTGCATGGATGTTTTATGGCTTGACAGTTCTGGGACTGATTGTGATGAGGTTTACGAAGAAAGACGTGAAAAGACCTATCAAGGTAGGTTTACGATCTTAAATGTCACAAGTGGCTTTGATTTCTTGAAATGAATTACATGGAGGTAACTTTTAAATGCTAGTGGTATGCTTTCTATTTTCAACCTGACTTGACTCTTAAATATCCTATTTTAGAGTTTGTTCTTCATTTCCTATTACAGCTTATGATTCCATCAGTCCTCTAGGCAGTAAGTATTAAGTTACCAAGGATACCCATGGCCTAACCAGAGCAAGGTGCCAGTGCTGACAGTTCTCAAACTCTCAGGCACACACTTTTCACAGAGTCAGGGACCTCCCAACTCTGGCCCCAGGCCGAGCTGAGCAAGCCATCTAGGACCCCTCCCACCTCTCTGCGAGGCTGGCTTGGGGCTACACACCAAGGAGAGAGGGGGATTTACTTTGTTCACTTATTTTAGGGGACTTTTCTGTTATCCGTGAAACAACTGTTATTTAGTTCGAATAGCAAGATACAAGCAGCAGAGGGTGTGGAAACTTAAATAACCACACAAGAAAAGGGGTGTCTTTAGCTTTAGGATTCACTACTGGTCTTTCTGGAGCTGCTGTATCTTGACTATCATCTCATCTCCAGAGTCCACATAGATATGGAGCCTGGAAGAAGACCTTCCGCCTCAACCAGGTCATACACCACGCAAAATCATGGTGGTAGAACAGATTGTTCTTCACAGAAAATCCCTCAAGCAGAAATAAAAAGGATTTGAGAGAAAAAACTAAAGGAGACAGAGGGGGAAAAAAGAACACATTTGTACTTGTAGTTTCTGAAGAAGGAAACCAAAGTAAGAGAATGCTGAGAAACTGCAATACAAGAAACGTGTCCTGGGGAAGGAAGGAGAGTGGGGGGAGGGACTGGATCCAACACACGCAGTGTAACTGGGGCGTCTGAACTAGGAGAAGCCAAAAAGAAATTACGTTCTGATAAATGCTGGAGCTTTAAAAAATGCTTTGGGTATCCACTCTCCTTCCCTTCCTCTCCTGACACCCCTCCACCAATTCACATACAAAGGAAAGTGTAAAATGCAGGCATCAGACTTCTCATCAGCACCACGAGAGACCATAAGGCATATTTGGTGTACGTCTATGTTCCAGCAACATATTTGAGATATTCAAAGAGAAAATGTAAGCCAAAGACTTCAGTGGAGTTGATTTTGCAAAATAAAGTTACAAACAGGAAAGCACTCAAGGCACATGTTGCCCCATGAAACCTTCCTGAGTCACCTGGAAAATGAGCCTTAGAAACTAGTCATTGGCATAAGGTGATTATACTTAACTGCAGAGCTAAATAGGAGATAAAGTTAACACACTACACAAATATTAAGCACTGACATATGTCTGTGTGTGTGCATGTATGAGTTTTATGTCAACAAAAATGGAAGAAAAAAGCATATCAAATATGCCTAAGAAAATGCCTTACTATTTAAAATTACAACCTGGGGAGAATTCCTAGCTGATTTCATTATTGCTTATAATAGACAAAATTTAAAAATGAGGCTAAGGTATTATATCCTACCATCTATAGTGGTTAAGTCTCAGAACGAAGTCTTAATAGATACCAAAAGATATGTCAAAAAATTAAAAATAGCAAGATACAAAACAGACTGTAGCGGCAGGATGGTCACTGAGCAGGTTTTCTGATCCGGCAGTTGGGGTAAAGGAGAGTCTTGGAGCCCTCAGTGGCTTTCTCAGGCTTTTATTGAGCTGTACATGTAGTGTGGCAAACAGGTACACGGCAGGCTGGGGTGCCGGGGGGCCAGTACGCCATCAGGCCTCCAAGCCCGGGGCAAGTCTTCACTCTGGGCTTCTCTGGCCTTCTCTCTCCCCTTCTCTCTCCTGTCTCTCTCCTCTTGCTTCTCCTGCTCCTTTCTCCTTTTCTCCCAGACTACCTCAATACTCCTCCCATGGTCCACAGAAGTAAATAAGAATTTGCAACAATGTAACAACTGCAGGTGCCCCATCAGGCAGGGCAGTCTTAATGGTTGGAGGGCAGAAAACCCCGAAAAACCATTTGCTCTCTACACAGACCACATCAAAAAGACCCATCTATGAAGAGTGGTTGACACAGATCAGAGCACTTCATGGTTACTGATTTCTTGGAAGAATGCTTACTAGGATTTTTGTTGATGTTGCTGTTTTTTGCTTATTAGTTTGTTTTTAATAGAATCTAAGAACCTCTAAAGTCTCATTTCCAGTTACTATAGGCAAATAAATATTGAAATTCCCAAGATGCAATACAGTTTTTTACAGTTTTTAATTACACATATGGGAAAACTTTCAAATTGCGTTCCAAGTCCAACCCCAATCAGCATCATGTGTTGGCATATTGACAAGTGGGAGTCGTGTGTGTTTGGGGGCTAGGAGGTCATGCTACTGCACTAATGTCAATCACTTCTTTAACCATACAAATTGGTTGGTCACCAAGAAATCATTCCTTTACTTCCTAACAGCATTTAACACACTTTCTCCATGCACACATACATATAAACACAGTTCAAAGAAAAGTGCAATGAAACTTAAAAATCAAACTTGAGCCTACAGGCTCAACTTTGGTACTAAGAAGAGAATGCACACCTCAATTCTAGAGTTATCACTTCCTACCATATGGGGAGAAATTCTCCATTGGTGAGGATGTGGGGGGCAGCTCTCTCATTCATTGCTATACAAATGACAAGCCACCATGGAGGAAACACGGCATTACCTACCAAAACTCTGTAGTCACCTTTTGACCAGACACCCCATTTTGAGGTAATCTATTACTAAGTGAAATTAGCAAAAATATAAAATATAGGCGTCACCTACTCCAACATTAATTGTAATAGCAAGAGGTTCCCAAATGTCAATCAACAGGAGATTGGGTGAGAAAATCTTTATTACAGCCACAAAATATAATATGCAGTAGTAAAAAAAATGAGTAATCCTTTTACATGTTACTATGACTTATCTGTGGTATATATTAATAGAAAAGTGCAAGGTGCAACACTACCTTTCATGGATTTGCTAACTTTAATGTAAGGGTGGTAGTGGATGAACATGTCTTTGTGCTTACATGTGCTAACTCTCGAAAAGACAATGTGATAATAAAACAAAAAATATTTAAGCTAAAAATTCTATATTAAAAAATGAAAATACAAAAAACAAATCCCTAAAAACAAATAGTATAACCCTTACTCTATGAGAAGTATGTCACATAACACAACAAACAATGACCAGACTGATATTAAAGTGTATTATTTAAATGAATTTCCTTGTGGGTATGTTCTGCGGTTTTAAAAAAACTGCAAAAAAACAAAAAAAAAAAACTTAAACATTATTGCTACTTGTACTCTTAGTTATTTTGAAATTACAGGCACATTGTAGAATAAAGCAAATAATTATGCTTATTGTGCTAACACCAAGAAACAAGATTTTCAGAAAAATAGACATCTAAAGGAAGGAAAAATACAATCTTACATTTGAATTGGAAACACCATAACTTCTTCCCCATCTTGAAAAGCTCTTTTCTCTCTATCCTTTTCTGTCTACCACCAGTCTAGGGGAAATATGAGGGAGAGTAGAGTGAGTTACCAAGCAGAGCTTCAACAGTCTCTGTAGGACACATCACCCAACTCCTACAGTAAATCAATTTATTTTTAAAAACTGATTTTGAAAAAAAGGACACGATTTTTTAAAAAGGACGGGAATAAACATGCTAAATGCATAAGAATCTGAGACATGTACCGAGAATTTCACAGGTAAGATGACACATTTGGCATTTTTGTTAGTCTAGGGAAAAGGAAGAAGGTGGAAGAAGTGAAATTAAACATTACTGAATTTTGAGGAGGGGTACATGGGCTTCATTTCAATTTTCCTGTATCAAGATCCTCAAAAATTTCTAAAAAAATGTGCACTCGCCTCCCAACCACACCACCTTGCTCTCTCGCTGCAGGTGCCCATCGTCATCCCCATCTTGGTGACCCTCGTCTCTGCATTTCTGGTTGTTGCCCCAATTGTCACTGAGCCTGCGTGGGAGTACCTCTACTGTGTGATATTTATACTGAGTGGCCTTGTATTTTACTTCCTTTTTGTCCGCTGTAAGTTCGAATGGATCCAGAAAATCTCAAGTAAGTATCAACAGGGCTGTTCTGCTATTGTAGGCCCGCACTGCACGGTGTCCTGCAGCCTCGTCTGTCCTGATTCTAGCAACACTGTCACACGAGCTCCAGCACCTGGTCATGTCACCCCTGTGGGAGGACAAGGGACCTGTTCCCCTCAGAGTGCACCTCTGGGGTACAATAGTGGTCTCTTTTGTCCCTGCCAATTAACATAACATGTTAAAAAGGAAAGTATCCCCGGTTATTTAAATTGTAGAACACATAAAATTTACCATCTTAACTACTAAGCATACAGTTCAGCTGGGTAGTTTATTCACATCATGGTGCATCCAATCTCTGGGGTGCCACTTTCTTTTGCCTGACAAGCAGACATCATGCCAGGGACACCTTGAGAGTTTGGGACCAGGGCTGAGCCTTCCAGTGCTGAGGCCACGGCTTTTGCTTTCCCCTCAGCAATGTTTCAGGACAGCTATTGTTTAGAAGTGTAGCTACATCACATGTGAGTGCGTCCACTTCTGAAAAGCTGTGGTGCCAACGTGAGGCTCTGAAGGATGCCCATTCTACATCATGCTCTTTCACAAAGTCTCATCTGGAAACGATTTATTATAGAGCCTTCCAAGTGGCCCAGCATCCCCAGGCCAGTGGCAACCAAGGGCTCTTTTTCTGTCCCTCTCCCCCTGGACTGAGTTCCTAGAAAACAGGACTTGGGCTGCACAATGTAATTACTAAACTCAATCAACGGCCACTTCATATTCATTCATCGTAAAGTTGAGGAAAAATCTGCTGCTTCTTGAGCTTGCCTAACAGGAAGTACAACCAGCTGCCAGGCACTCCCACTTGCTTTTTATTTGCAGGCAACTTATGGAAAGCAGATAAGGTACAAAAGAACAAAATCCAACTGGAGGTCAGTGAAGTTGACCCTGAGACTTTAGACTCAGCTTCAGGGACTGAGAGCACTTTTGTCCAGCAGGGCAAGTTCCAGACCCTCACAGCTTCCAGTCCTCATCTGTGGAATCTAGTACTCACTCAACAGTGGAGTTACAAGTGTATCAAGAGAGAATCTATTTCATGTTGAGTAGCAAAGTAAAGCCAAAACCAAAATATGCTTTTCTTTCCATCAAAGATTTTTTCCTTTTCCTGAAATAACTGCCCCCGCTGCCTTACCTTGATCTAGGCCTAAGCTGTGAGGGGACGGCAGGCGCGCAGCCGCAGCAGTGGAAGACAAGTCACTACTGCAAGAAAACCGCCGCTGCCCCCATGCCTTTGAAACAAGCTTGCATTTGATTATATTGTCAGAGTCTAGTCAGGATGACTCATAACCTAACAATACAAAGTATGTCTTCTTTCTCAGCTCTAGGTTATTTAGCTAAGCTGCTCCCTACAAAAAAACTGTGAGAAGTTGGAATTAGGAGGTGAAAAGAACAGTATTTTAAACAAGACATGATCTTAAATGATTCCTGACTAAATATTCAACTCTTGGTCAATGGTGGTATATACATATAAATGAGTCATTCCTATTTTTCCTATAAATTGTCTGATGGCAATAAAATATCATGTTCCTAATGCTTAAGGAAATAGCTTCTCTCCAAGAAACCACTGTGGCCCCAGGACGGTTCTGAGTGCTTCCAGTTGCTGGCACACCCCGAGCTCCAACTCCAAGCGGACCCACCACCAAAGAGCTGTCCTACAGTTCACCCACAGGCAAGGGAAAGTTAATTCCTAATTACTCTTTTCTAACCGCATTTTCTATGACTTCCCCAGACCCTATCACAATGCACCTTCAGATGCTGATGGAAGTGGTCCCACCAGAGGAAGCGCCCGAGTAGCGAGTTCAGTCTCCTGCAGTGAAGTCCAAGTTGGGATGAATTTATTTTTGTAAGCAATATTTGTGGTTATTCCTCATGTTTTTCTTAAGAAAAAAAAATGGATTCAGATGTTTATAATGCTGGTCTTTCTGGCTATCCTTATTCTCTGCATGGGGTTTGCGACAGGAGAGGTGGCGGAGTCTCTAATGTTGCAGGTGAGGATGTAACCTTGCATGGAATGGTGTTGACGGAGGGCTGAGGAAAAACTCCCACCAATGCGGTGGTGACGCTAACAAGGTGCACACCACACCTACTTAAGGGTATGCCTCAAATTCAGTGATCAACAAGGTGCATACATGCTTTATATAATATTGTGAAGCCTCTGCTTTGATTGAATAATTTTTAAAATACTGAAATATTTTTGCCATGTAGCCTCCTCCCACAGTAGTGGCACCTTACTAGTATTTAATGCAGGGCAGATGTGGCAGTTCCGCCCGGACTGAATGACAACGCCGGGTCACAAAGTTGGCCACCCAGAACAACTCGTGACCTCCTGTGTGTCCACCAGGCCAGTATCGTGGGCTCCCCAACAGTCCCCTCTGGTACTGCTGAATTCACCGTAGCAAACAAAATTCTATTTGGCAGGGAAAAAACTGTCTAAAAAAATGTAAGAAGTAATACTTCTGTGGAAACACAGATTTTATTGATGATCTTCTACAAAAGGCAATCACACCACAACTCAGTATGTGAGCAATTTTAGAAACATAGAGACAAAGCACTTTTACTTGCATTTCAGAAAATTTCCCGAAACATGAAATCAATACATAATAGCAGAACAAAACAATTAGAAAGTGCTTAAATTTCACAAGTCTGTATCCTATATCCTACAAAATGTTATTCAAAACTACAAATACTAGTAAATTTAAACGTCTGAAAGAAATTGAGATTTAAAGCTACAGCCCTCCTGCCCCAGTATTTTCATTAGCATCACCTTGACCTTGGAAGCAGGACCCCACACCATTTGTACATGGGAAATCTGTGCCAGCTCGATTACTATTATGATTATTACTATTGTTATTTTTGCAACTGAGCACAAGCAGCACAAGCAGCAGGTGGCCAGCGGGCACAGGGCAAACCAGTGCTGCGCAAGAGGCCTGGTCACCAACCCACAGGCCTCCCTTAGGAGGAAAAAAAAATGTAGCATTAGAAGGACATTAGAAGAGCTCTGCAGAGTCAAACCTTCACCAGCAAAGACATCAGAATGCTCTCCTTCTTGAAAAGCCCGCCCAACTCAGCAGCAAAAGGGAACATCATCACTGCCGCATGTCCAGCGCCACGGGACACAGTGCAGTGGACATGCTCCTGGCAGCTGTTCACCTGGACACCAGGTCTTCCTGCTGGAGGGAGAAGTCTGACCCCCATCATGGAGGTGCTGCACAGAACCAGGCCCCAAGCCAGCAGCATCCCAGGGCACCCAAGTTGCAGGGAGACATGCAATGAGCAGAGTTGTATTTTACAGATGAGGAAACTGAGAGTCAGAGTATGATCCAAACTTGCTCCTGGGACAGGATGACAGCAGAGCTGACCTCTTGTCAGCGGTGGTTTCACCAGGGACACACAGACACTTGGGTATTTGCACTTTCTGATGTGAAAAATAAAGATCTTAGAGGCAGAGTGGCCAGACTCACCCTGAAGATCTGCACAGGGCTGCCTGTTTCTCAGTAGCTCACCTTTCTAACTTTCCCAGTTAACATGAAAAGCCAGGTCTGGGCATTCCTGCATTTTTTTTTTTTTTAAGATTTATTTATTTATACAAGAACCAGGGTACAGTCAGAAGCGTGGGAGGGTGAGAGGATTCACCAGAGCCAGAGCGGGGAACAGAACAGGCAGACTGAAGAAATACACTGCTGAGGGGAGCAGTGGGCGGCAGGAGAGGTCTGTCACGCCATGTGGGACCCTCGCCGGTGGCCGGGGATCGAACCAGCACTGCAGAGGCTGCGGGCAGCCTTGCAGCCCAGTGCTCAACCGCTGCGCCACAAGGGAAGGCTCGCATCCCTGAATTTGTGGTAATGACATGCACTTCTGTCCTGACAGTCTCCTGACCTCACCCCAGGATGAGGTTGTGACTGTTTATAGGGCTGGTCACATTCAGATGAGCAGAGGGTTACTCCAGGCACCCCCAGGTCCTTTTCATTTTCCACTGGGGAGACCCTCTGTTCCCTGTGTAGGACTCTGCAGGACCAAGGTGTTCTTCAGAAGCTGCACCTTTCCTTCCAGAAAGGCCCTGCTCTGGCTGTATGGCTGAGTCATCTCCTGTTTTGTCCTTGGATTAACAGCAGAGCTGACCTCTTGTTAAAGAGCTGACCTCTTGTTTACTTCATAAGAAGTAAACTCACTCTCTAGTTACCAAATGCTTACGCATACTAAGAGGATTAGCACACAAATATGTTGACTCTCAACTAACTCATGGCTGAAAGGATCTGATAAGCAGTGCAAAGCGTGGGTAAGACTGAGACCTCAATTTATATGCACGAGACCAGGTTTTTAGAAATGTACCAAATACAGATCTAAATGAAAAAAAATGAAGAGACTAACTCTAGACAGTACAACTCAGCACCCAAGCATGGTGGCCGCTTGGAACGCAGTGTGCTGGGATGGGCGAGGACAGGCTGGGCATCCACGAGAGGTGCGGGCCCAGTGTGTTTCTCTGCATCCTTCCACCTCCCTTGAAGCCCATTTTTAAGTCAATTAAAAATTTCTTGCCATTACCAATTCCAGTGTCACAGGTGACTTAGTAATAATTCATCCTTGTAGAAATTTATCTTCAATATGACTGCTGGTTTTAACTTCTTGTCACACAGAATTATCATTTTTGTTCAAAGATTTCCAGTCACTCCTCAGGATGTGATTCACAGTCTCAATCACTCTCACTTTCATCCTCCTCTGAAGTTCTGTTACTGTTCTCAACTTTGCAGGACAGGTTTTTTGAATTTATAACTAGGAAAGTTAGATAATACAAAATATACGTTATGTGTACTTCTAATTATTAGCAAATCTCCCATCTCCCATTATTTTGGTCAATGTAAAACAAGTCTGTTAAATTCCAATTCTATCTTTCATCTTATTTTTTATTTTCATTATTATAGGCAAGAAATGAACAGGTAGAATTTTCCTGCTTAAATTATTTTACCAGGAAAACCATGTGTAAAAGTGTTATAAAGGAGGTCTGTTTATGACCAAGACTTGATACTTCCTCAAAACCAGAACAATTAGCATCAAGATCAAACACAAGGGGGCCTCCCCTGGTGGCGCAGCAGTTGAGCGCTGGGCTGCGAAGCTGCCCGCGGCCTCTGCAGCGCCGGTTCGATCCCCGGCTGCCAGGCGAGGGTCCCACATGGCGCGCAGACCTCTCCTGCTGCCCGCTGCTCCCCTCAGCAGTGTGCTTCGTCCGTCTGCCTGCTCTGCTCTCCCCTCTGGCTCTGGTGAATTCTCTCACCCTCCCGTGCTTCTGACTGTACCCAGTGCTTGTATAAATAAATAAATAAATAAATCTTTAAAACAAAACAAAAAAAAAAAAACAGTACTAACCTAAACTTAAAAAAAAAAAAAAAAAAAAAAAAAAAGATCAAACACAAGGGTAGAACTATTCCTAAGGGCTTTAATTTAACCAATGCATTCCTGAAACAAGTCAAGAGATTACGCCCAGCCCAGGGACCAACGGCCTCTCTCCAGGCAGTGGTGTATGGCTCTTACCTCTGGAGAAGTGGTTATCCTCTTCACAGTCTTCCCAGTGATCAAAATCAAAAGCCACATTAGGATTCTGTTCAATATAAATTTACATTAGGTGAGAGAATAAAATAAACTCAAGATGTTAAGATCAGTCACAGGTATTTTCAACTCACCCTCTGTTTGAGTAAACTATACCAAGGCTCCCTTTTCTCTTTGGCAAGAGTGATTACAGGTTCATCATTTTTAACTACGCATTTGCAATCATCTTTTATTATGTTGGCCTGCAGCTCCATATCAGCCAAATAAAATTTGTCTCCCACCCAGGCACTGAGTTTAAAAAAAAAAAAAAGAAGTGGAGAAATAAAGTCAGCCTTTTAAAAAATGTCAGGTATTTTTTTTCTGTTTTACTTTGTAGGATACACAGATAGAAAATATAAGATAAACCTACCTGAAAACAACTCTATCTCTAGAAAATTTACATTTATAATCTTTTACATTTCTTATTCTTATTTTTAATATGACCATATCATCTTTTTGGAACCATTTTATTTGTGGGTGGAAGCTGGATAGGAAAGAAAAAGGCATAAACACATCACTATTTATTCAAGAGTGAAGAAGGGGAAGTATATGCTAACGACAGACATACCTCTTAACAGGTTCTGTGGTTTTTTTAGTGGAAACATCTTCTCCAGTGTTTTCTGGTAAGGTTTCTATATAAAAAGCAAAATTTTCCTGCAGGTTATTTATATGCAATTCCAAAATGTGTGTATATATTTAGTACTTCTTTTGCACTTTATGCAACTTTTAGCTGAGAAACTATTCACTATGGTAACTATGGTAACTATTTACTATGGTAACCCAAGCGGCCAGGTGCAAAGAATAGACAAAAAAAATTAAAATGCACATACATATTTAATAAACCTATTAAGAACAGGCTCTGACAAATAATACAGAAAGTTAGGCAAATCTTTGAAAAGGAACAGCATTCCAACTGGTGGCTGTCTAGGTTTCTCTGCTGCCATCTTAATCTATGAGGACCCCAGAAGAGCAGCCAGTAGCCAGTATGTGAACATACCATTTCTAAAACACTGCAATGTAAACTTTTTGATCTAAAACATTTGAAGTTTCCATCCCAAACACTTGAACAAGAATGTTCACAGCAGCTAATAACCCCAGTTGAAACCTAAATACCACCTCACCATCCATCGCTGAGCAAACAGATGAACTGTGGTGTGGTCATATTAGTTTACAAATCAGTAATAAAAATGGATGCTGCTACTTTCATGAAAACAGATGAATTTCAAAGATACACTGGAGTGAAAGAAGCCACAGGGTGTATATCACATATTTCAACTCAGCAAAACTGCTGGTGATAAAAGTCAGGACAGAAGTTACTGGGAGGGGTTGGAGATAGGGAAGGTGCGGCTATACAGATGTGAAAAAAATCAGATGAGCTGTACACTTAAGATCTGCACACTTTGTTGTACATTAAATCTCTTGTACACTAAATCTCAAACAGAAAAAGGGGAAAAAGCTAAGCTATGCAAAATAATCAATGAAAAATGAAATGCAAAAATACGAAGTTAGGTACTATCAGTCACCTGTAATTCACCCAAAACAAAAACCTAAAATTAGAAAATTCCCAAGTAGCAATGATTTCCAGTTAACCATTGGAGATAACCAACCATGTTTCTGGTCTGACTTCGTCTCAGAGCCAGCAGTTCTTTCTGACACCCCGTTCTCCTGCTCTCTCCTCTGCAAACTGAGGGCATCTTCTGCTGAATCAGGTATCCTGCAGAGAAGAGGAGGTGGTGAACTCAGACTTGAGACAGGCAAAATCCGGCTTTCTACAGGGCTCAGAGAGTTCAGAATGCTCCTCTCAGCAGACGAGCTCTGCTGGGCCAGTTCACCACACAGACCAGATGTTCCACAGATACCGCCCACCAGACACGGGTACTGAGTCTACCAAGACAACGTGAGAATAACATACACTGCCGGCCACTTCAAGCAGGGAAAAAGGGCAGAAGCAAAACCAACCTCTTTTCCTCCTACACCACAGTCGCTCAGTTTATCTTCCCAGAGACTACCCTGCTAGTGGCAATGTGGGTCTAGTTCTAGAAACATTCTTTGATCAAAAAAAAAAAGAAAAAGAAAATAATGCCATTTCTATCTATCTCAAACACACACAAACATACATGCATTTAAACATGGGAACCTACTACATACATGTTTCTAATTGTGTTTTATTATACTCAATAACTAGAGATTATTCCATATCAGTACAATGAGTGCTCCCTTATTCTTCAAAAATTTTAATTTTCTTTTGATTTTTTTGAGCAAATTAACACATTCATGTGGTTCAAATATTTGAATATAAACAAAATGGTCTACACAGTGAAAAATTACCTTCTCACCTCTATTCCCCAGCTACCAATTTCCTTCCTCATGGATTTTAATATAATGTTTTTTGTGCATCCTTTTAGAGATAACACAAACCTAAAGAAGTCTATACAAACATACAAAGACACACCCATGTATTCATGCACACACCTTACAGGTGAATCTCCAGGGGACTTTCCCAGGAAGCCTGCAGTAGGTCTTTCCAAATGGCAGGGAGCAGAGTCCATGCTCCAGCCACCGACGCAGGGACCCCTGCCAGGTCTCAGCCTTACCTCTGTGCAGCCCACCCTCTTCCACCACCACGGCTCTGACCTGCTTCAGCAGAACCTCATCTGCTGGAGTCCTGTTCCTTCTTTCTCACTCTTACCAAGTTTTTACTCTCCTGAAATAGTGACAAATTGAAAACCTGCTTTCAGGAATATACCTTCAGTAACCATAAATTTAGTATGTCCAAACCCAAACTCAGTGTCTCCTCCTTTCCAATGAGCTGCTCTCTGGGAGGTGTCCAGTAACCATTGACCATGCTGACAACTCACATTCACTGTGTGCAGAATTACAGAATCACATCCCCACGTACATCCCCCATGTCTGGTGGCTCCTAGATCTTTCAAGTCCTCAGAATTCGTCCTCTTTTCCAATCTGCTGCAAGAATGGTGTCATTTTCCTTGCTTCTGATCCCAATTACTACTGTAGATTCTGGATCTGTTTCTTAGTTTCCTCATTCCAATGTACCTGTTTATTTAGTTTTATTTTAGAATTTTATAACAAGCTTTTTCAATGTCTACTGGCTATCAATCGAGGAATAAATCCTGCAAGGTGACCACTGGGGTGCTGATGCCTGGTCAGTCTTGAAGCTTTTTCCCAACCACCTCTGCCATTTATCTCATTTGTCCCAAACTCTCTTCACTCCTTTCCCTTTTCTCAATGGGATGCAGCCCACAGCCTTAAACACTTTCCCCAAGTTGCTTCTTCATGTGCCCAAATCCCCATCCTTAAGGAACCATCTGAAATGGAGGTTCTGCTTCCAGGAAAACTTCCTCTGTGGAATCTCGCCATCCTCTGCACCTCTCTCCACTGCAGTGTTATGGCCATAGGTGTACAATGCCTCCTGCACACTCACAAAGCCAAGTATGCAAAGTGGCAGAATGGAGTGCTTGGCACAGAGCTGGCTGCTGTGATTTACATGAGTGATAAATCTTCATTTTGATTAAACCTACTAAAATGGAATGCAATCTTCATTTTAAAAAGAATACTTTATAAATACAGAGGAATTCTTCTTGTTTCCTGAAAATGTGTGGAAAGAATTATCCTAAACCCACAGGTACCCAGTTTTATGTAGAAAACTAAAAAAAAACACTGCAGACTATAAACTATTTTAACCTTTGCCACATTAAAAAAAAATACACCTATTTTCAGCTGTAACTAGGGATCTCTCAAGGCAGCCAATGACTACATTGCTCAGTCTCCTGGGCACACAGTCCTGCCTTGATGGCCACTCAGCAGCGTCTGGCACACTCCTCACCTTGCCCCATCAAACCCTCCCCCTCCCCTGCTGTCCCAGTCTTCCCTCTCCCCTGCTGGCTGCACCCTATCGCTCTCCCACCTCTCAGTTTTAGAGGCCTAGGGCTCAGTCCTTGGATTTTTCACACTCACCCCATCAGGGCTCTCTTCCATATCCATTCTGACTTCCAAAACAAAGTACCTTCTGACCAGGTTCCTCGAGACCACAAGTTCACTAGAAATACATTCAGAAATGAGCTGTTTCTCACCACCTCCACCAAACCATTCTAGTCCATGCGATGGCAATCTGTCCGCAGCCCTGGCACAGTCTCTGTCCCTCAGCCCTCTCTTTAGTCTCAACACTGCAGCTCAGAACCATCTTCTCATCAAGTCATTCCTCTGCTCCAACCCCAAGAATGCCTCCAAGACATGACCCTGCACTGACCCACGCTGTCCCTGACGCACAAATACCCAAGACTCCTGCCCGCAGGAGTCCTTTCCCAGGTACCTGCAAGGGTCAGCCTCACCTCTGGAGTGAGCCAGCTTATTCCTGCCCAGAGCCACCCCTCTACCTTTCTGCTTTAATCTGCTCCTTCTCACGCATTACCATCTGACCCAGCAGGTACTTTTTTTTAACCTGTTCATCATCATCTCTCTCCACAGAAATGTGAGCCCTTTCAAGGGATGGCTCTTCTTTTTTGTTCATGATCATCTCAATAGACAATAAATATTTACTGCATGAATCTTAAAACTGCAACTTTACCTAACAGCACCTTCAATGGAAAAGTATATATTTATTAAGTCAAATGAAATGATGTTAGACTGAAAAAATATTCTAGCATCTTGCTACCAAAAGAGAACACATGCACGGCAAGATGGCCAAGGAGGAAGCGCCAACCTTCCCTTCCCCACAGGAGCATCACACAAACCACCCGAAGCTGTATGAACCAATTCCCCGGAAGCCTGGAAAACAGTGAAGCCTTTACAGCAACCAAGCAAATGCCTAACCAAGAAAAAGCCTATTTCAAAAATTAGAGGAAAATTCTCTGGAATTTTCACCTGCCCGTGTATCCACATCACCCCCCTACTCACTTTGGTCATCCTGAACTGCCAGGTTCCTGTTCCTCAAAACAAAGGGTACAAACCTCACATGCAAATACCGTGTAACAGGCGTCTTATTCTACCTGCTGGCGCTGGAGGTGGGGGTGGGCACACATCTGAGGGACTGGTGCTAGACACCTGTGTGTCTCATCTGAGATGGAACACAGGTGTAAAGCCACAGGCACTGCTTGGGAAAGGCCACGGCAGGCCCACAGACACCTGAGGCAAAAGGCTGCCCAAGAAGACAAAGACTGTGTCCATCTGTGTCTCACTGGGGATTGCCAAAGCGACTTTCAGAGTCTCTCATATGTAGCTTGTGGAAAAGTAAACCAACACAATACAAAATACATATATAAGTACAACAAAACATGTAGGAGGCTGGGCCACTTGAAGTAGCTCAGAACTGGAAGTTTCTTCATCAATAGTAGGGCGGGACAAATTATATTCATACAATGGGGTATTATGCAGCAACAAGAATTTATAATCTACAGGTTCATGCGCAAAACAGATGAACTTCACAAATAATGCTAAGTCAAAATCGCCAGGCACCAGCCACACACAACATGATCATTCAAACAAAGAACATAGCCAGTGAAGAGCTCCCGGGCTTCCTCATGTTGGGGGTGAGGCTACCCATGGGGAACGTGGAAGGGGCAGTCAGCTGTGATCTGGGGCTGGTTTCTGTGCTCAGCAAATCCATCAAACTACACTTAAGATGTATGCACTGTTCTGCAGGTGTTTTGTCGGCAAAAAGTTAACAGGTGAAATAACGTATCTGGGGTTTGTTTATAATACTCCCCCAAACACAGAAGTGTGGATTGGGGTATGGATAAAACAAGACTCCCAAATTCTTGGTAATTTTTGAAGCTGAGTGATGGGAACGTGGAGACTCATTAAACTCTACTTTCATTAAAAAATGCTCATAATACAGGTGAGTTATAGTTCCACAAAACAGCTCTTCCAAAAGAGAGACAAAAATCCACTTACAGGGTTTGGCTTAGGCTTTCTTCAAAAGTTGGCATTTTAGCTCCTTTGTATAATTTTTTCAGTTGTTCTATATGGTCTGAATTATCAATGCCCATTCCCATTGACAAAATTTCAGCTCGAACATTATAATCAATGATAGAAGTTTTCAAGTTTGTAAGTTTTGTAATGTGCACCTTGAATCAAAGAAAAAATATATTTGCAGGAATCACACTTTGAACTTGAAAGGAATCATAAACATACGGCCTTTCAATCTATCGCTGCAGATATACCTGGGCACATGCCACAATGTACAAGGGCTTCCCAACTGCAGCATCCGGTCATTTCACAACCAAGGTTACATCTCAATCTTCCAGAGCCCAGGGCCACTGCAGAAACATGATCAGGTCTGGGGTGGGGGTCAAGATCAGATGTTGGAATAAAGCCCCCAGACAAGTCCAATCAGTAATGCTGTAACCACACACAAAATGCACTGATCTTTCTATTATTCTAGTACTTTTGCTTTTTCTAACAAGGAGGATCCTAAGGCTGAGTCTTCAGGGGCCCACCAAGACCCCACGCAAGGCCCTGAATCCTGTGTTCTGGAAACTTCTTTCACTTGTCTTTTCTGCAACCAAAGCATTCTCACCCATTTCAATTTATAAAAAAATTAAACATGAAAATCTGTAGCAGTCTAATTTCTGTCGGTGAGTGATGTGGACCCAGGATGGAGCACCCCTTCATCGTCAGGGGCTGGAGGCGGGGGAAGGCTGGCACTGGCTGCTGGCACCCCTTCCAAGTGAAACCTGGGAATGCGCTCCCATCTGGGAATAACAGAAGAGTCTCTCCACCCACACTATGGACCAAGCTGGCCCAGATGGGGGTTTGCCCCCCATGGAATGCCATGGATACTGCTCCACCTGGAGGTGGGGAAGGATGTTTGCCCAGTGGGTCTTCTGCTTCACTCTTATAGCTATAGTTTTTTTTTTTAATAGAGGCATGCTTTTATTTATTTATTTGTTTGTTTGTTTTGTTTATACATGCACTGGGTACAGTCAGAAGCACGGGAGGGTGGGAGAATTCACCAGAGCCAGAGCGGGGAGCAGAGCAGGCAAAAGGACCGAAGTACACTGCTGAGGGGAGCAGCGGGCGGCAGGAGAGGTCTGCGCGCCATGTGGGACCCTCCTCCGGTGGCCGGGGAGCAGCCGGGGATCGAACCGGCGCTGCAGAGGCCGCGGGCAGCTTCGCAACCCAGCGCTCAACCGCTGTGCCACCGGGGAGGCCCTATAGCTATAGTTTTTAAAAATCCCCACCTGAAGGGCCTCCCTGGTGGCGCAAGGGGTTAAGCACCGCACGATGAAGTAGTCTGCAGCCTCTGCAGCAGGAGTTTGATGCTCGGCCGGCCAGGGGGCAGCCCACATGGTGCAGCAGACCTCTCCTGACTTGCCCACTGCTCCCCTCAGCAGTGTACTTCGGTCACTCTGCCTGTTCTGTTCCCCACTCTTGTCTCTGCTGAATCCTCTCACCCCTGCATTTCTGGCCTGTACCCCAGCTCTTGCATGCATAAATAAATAAATCTTTACCAAAAAATCCCCACCTGAAAAAGTTTTCATCTTTCTCCCACAAAGAAGAATTACAATGCTGATGAGGAAAACACCAACTGAGACCCCACAATCTCTTTATTTACCTGCACTGGTAATCTCTACCTCCTCTCCTAAAAGTCATTTTATCCTCTTACTCTTTGGTCTCTACCCAAACTTTCTTTAATGTGTTAAGGCTTTTCTAGTCTTGTAAATATAACTTTTTAGCCAAACAGTTTTTATGAACTAACTTCCTTTAACTTGTATAAATCACCATAATTAAGACTGAAGTGTACTAAAGCATAACTCTGAACTGAAAGGAGAGTCCTTGGGGTGTGAGCAGAGGGGATGGTGCAGCAGCAGAGCAGAGGCACTGAGACTCTGCAAGAAGCGTCATCTCACTCTCAGCCCCCAACACAGCTCCTCACGGTAGGAGTGTGGATGAGGAGGAGGGAATCTTTTGCCTTTGACAGGCCAGAGCACGAATTAGGTGCTCAATCAATATTTGGTGAAAGAATAAGACAGGAGTTTTAAATATAATAATACCTCCCCCATGCTAGAATCCTCAACATTGTGTATCATAGACCAGGACTTTCAGATCATTTAGAGCTAGACAAATGGATCCCATTAGGCAGGTGCTGCCCCGTGGGAAAGCCACTGAACAATGCACAAGTAACACTTGAAATCATGGGAGAGAATGTAAATATTAGAGACTGAAACATGGAGTAAGGATAGTCTGAAAGAGCATCTTCTCAGTTGTATGTGAGTGCATGTGCTTACACACACACACACTCTCTCACTCACTCCTGTGAGCTTTCTGGATTACAATGTAAAAATTGCCCATAAAGGGGCCTCCCTGGTGGCGCATCCATAGCCTTTGCAGCATGAGTTCGATCCTCGAGGGCCAGAGAACAACCCACATGGCAAAACAGACCTCTCCTGTCTTGCCCACTGCTCCCCTCAGCAGTGCATTTCAGTCAGTTTTCCTGTTCTGTTCCCCACTGTCTCTGGTGAATCCTTTCACCTCCTGCATCTCTGGCCTGTACCCCAGCTCTTTTATGCATAAATAAATAAATCTTTTAAAAAACTGCCCTTAAATAAGACACCCACAACCAAATTCATGACTTAAATGACGTGGTAAAAAAACAAACGCTAACGCAGAATCCCAAATATGCCTTCATTTACGTGAGGAACACATTTATTTAAGCAACAAGTTAGAATGATTTGGGTAATTTTAGGGGCCCATTCAAATGCAGATTTCTTTTTAAGAAAACTGCGTACTTACCATTGGATCAAGCCAAACTGTATTTCCCAGAGCCAGTATCACTTTTGCATCATGCAGCTTGCCAATAATTTTGTGATGAACATACCTAGTAACCTGAAAAAAATTTTTTATCGGAACCTTTAAGGAAATACCTTATTTTATATATGCTGTGCATGTTTTGCAAAAAACTTACCGAAGCAGTTCATTTGAACCTCACAACCACTTCAACAGGTCATTTATGGACACCATCAATCATGATAAGACTAACAGTGGAGTTAAATGAGGAGAGAAGCAAAAGGGAGTTCCGAGAACAGGTGGGGTCTATGCCTTTGGACTCCTAACACTGTGCATTTCCCTGTCCAGGGAAATTTTCCCTGCTCCCTGTCCAGCATCTGTTAACTGTCAACTTTGTCTTTACAACACAGATGTTTCTTCCTTGGGAAATGAAAGCGTTCCTGCGGCTTCAGAGGAGGACATCACGGCCACAAGCTTCGCGCTCTCCCAGCCCTTTCCGCCTGGCACGGCTCAGCAGGTGAGTCACACACTTCCTTGCACACCTGAACTCCACTATGCAGAACAGGATAAGCTGGCTCGTCATGATTAGATGATTTCTAATTCCCTTCCTGTATATTAATTGGGAAGAATACACACAGGAGCTTTTTTCCCCATTTCTACAAAAGACACCTCTTCATGAAATATTTGAAACTGATCAGCTTAGCAGTTCATGTGCTTCCTGAGGACAAGGAACACAGCATCTTGCCAGTGGCTACATCCCCAGAACCTGCAGCACCAGCACACAATGGCTACTCGGTAAACGCTTTGCAGGAGCCGAAATGTCTATTTAATAAAGGCTACTTGTACTAAACTCACAACAGTAGGTTGTATATTCATCCAATACTGTGGAAACATTCACCTGCGTTCTTTTTGGATAATGTAAATTTGTTTATAAATGAAATTGTTTTTACTCTGCCAACTGCAATGGTTTATTTCATATCTTAACAGGATTATACAAAAGTTAACCTTCCACTGAAGAAGCAGGAATATCATCATGAACACAATTCACTGCTCCGGCAACAAGCAGGATGAACTGCCTCTCCACCCACTCTGTCAAGTGCGCAGCCCACCCAAGACCACGCTGCTGGGTTCCAAGTCACCACCTCACTGCTTCTTAGGGTCCACTTGGTGATACCTAACTCCTGAGGAAATGTAGTGTCTTCTTTTGGAAGCTTTTCTATACTCTCTCCTCCCTTGTCTATTCTCTCAACCCCGGAAGAATCACCTAGGCTATCCAGAGAGTGTCCATCGCCTACGTCTTCTTTGACAGAGATAAACATTTCTGTAGGTCGTACATGGTTTTTTCTGCTTAAGCTGTTAGCCAGTGTATTTTACTACGACCAACAGTTTCTTTCCATTCTAAGCTGTGAATCAGGCATCCCATACCTGGCCAGGGGGCCTGATACCTCCAGGATCAGCACTGGGTCCATGCACATGATGGCGCATGCATTCCTGCTCTGGCAGGGATCCAAGCAGAATGGTGCTTCAGACGCCCAGAAAAAGCAGCATTTTACCCAAACTCAAAACTCTAAATTCAATTATACCACAATTTGGTCTATATCCTGGGTTAAGTATATTATACAACTCAATGAAATATAAAAAAGTCAAAGTAACTCACCTTTGGATTCCATTCAATTTCATTGTCAGCGGGTTTCACTCTACAAACAATAAACTCCACAGCTTGCGGGGGCAGCGTGTGGAAACACTCTGGAAGTTGCAATAATTGATCCCTTGTGATGAGCCCGGTCCTGCCTTCATCTATAAACTTTACAAGGACATTCTCTAGGGCCCAAGTGTCTTCTTTTTTAGGGCTCATCTCCAACACCTGAACCCTGGAGAACAACAGTGGTCTCAGTTTAACAGACTCCAAAATGGAAACAATCTTTGCCTCAACTTATTAAATGCAAAACACAAAAATAAAAGACTGAGACTTTTAGTCCATACCATTTTATTTCAGAAATAACTAGAGATGTCAAGAATACTTAACAATAGTTTATTTAGTTAAAGCATACCTAACAATAAAAAAGTGCAGTATTTTTCAACAGAGTGAATTCCTTTATCTGACAACAAAAAAAAATGAATAGAGCAAATTAAATTTTCAAAGTTTCAAAGTGGCTATTCCTATATGGAACTGGTGTGGCATCTGAAAGCACAGATGGGGCAAGAAGCAAACAAACAGGGATTTGATAAGAATGGAGTTACAGATGCATCTGTGCATGGCACACAGCGATGGCTTGATAATTGAACATAAAATGTCACACTGTCGTCCATGCCCTCTGCTCAAGAGTCCAGGACCCAGCAAGCCTCACTGGATCTCTGGGATCCTGGCCACAGCACTGGCACCATCCTCCGAGGGGGCAGCCATACTTAGTACATAGTCCACTGAGGTCAAGAGTTGTAAAAATAGGGCTTAATTTCATCTAGAGTTACCTCATTCTTCACAACTTTTAGAGATGATATAAACAGACACTTTACCTGTGAAAAAGTGTTTTTTCTGCTAATCCATATAATCCAAATTTCTCCACCTTTTCAACAGTTGTTTTATTATTGGAATCCTCAAAATACTCTTTCATTTCAGCATGAAGAGTTGCATAAAGGTCCACATTTTTATTAACTATACGACCAAAGTAGTTTGTTGCATTGGAAATATAAAAGGGTATTACCTGAAACATAAATAGTAAAGTTAACTAAAAATCATATTAATCTAGGGAGCTCCCCAGTGGCACAGCAGGTTAAACGCAGTACTGTGAAGCTGTCTGTAGCCTCTGCAGTGTGGGTTTGATTCCCGGCCGGCCAGGCAGAGTCCCCCATGGCGAAGCAGACCTCTCCTGTCTCGCCTGCTGCTCCCCTTATCAGTGCTTTCGATCTGTCTGCCTGTTCTGCTCCCCACTCTGACTCTGGTGAATCCTCTCACCCTCCAGTGCCTCTGGCCTGTACCCAAGCTATTGTATAAATAAAAAATAAATCTTTAAAAAAAATTCATTAGGGCCTCCCTGGTGGCACAGGCAGATCAATGCAGTGCTGTGAAGCTGTCCAGAGCCTCTGCAATGCCTGTTTGATCCCTGCCAGCCTCGAAGATACCCACATAGCGCAGCAGACCTCTCCTGTCTCACCTGCTGCTCCCCTCAGCAGTGTTATTTCATCAGTCTGCCTGTTCTGTTCCCCTCTCTGTCTCTAGTGAATCCTCTCACCCTCTCACACATCTGGCCTGTACACGGTTTTTGTATAAATAAATAAATCTTTAAAAAACCCCAAAACATTGACACCCAATTATGTTTTAAAAACTCATTAAAAAATATTAGGCTACCCTTCCCCACCCACAAAGCTGGCATACTCTGACCAACAGAAAGAAAAACAACAACAACAAAAACAGACTACAGATCAAGTGGGACAGTGAGTGGAAAGGAACTATTGCAGGCACTGCACCCTTTGAACAGGAACTGTGAAGAACCATGCGGGAATAGCCAAGGAGGTGAGTGAATGGCTCTGGGTGCCAGTGCCATTAGAGGAAGATAAGGTCTCCCTGGAGAGACCTGCAAATAGCCTAAGGCCAGCCGGCAAGCTTGTGTGGAAAAGTGCGCAAGCTCGAAAACCATTCGAGGATTGCAGCTGCCCAGGTCCCTGCGCCCTTGACCTAGGTTGGTGGGGAGACAAGTGGGAACGGTGAATGACCTCACTGAGTAATCAAAAGTCAGGTGCTTGGGCATGGGAGCTGTGTGCAAAAGGCACCATTTCTGCGGACACTGAACTGGGCTACCATCCATGTCCTGGATCTGAGGGCTTCGGAACTGAGACCCAGGGCTTGAATTTCAGGGTGTGGGATCCCCATGATGCACGGTACAGGGGGCAGACAGAGTAGCCCATGCCATTGAACCATTCCACGCCATCCCCACTCAGTTCCAGGGAGACCCACGGGGAGAAAGCACAACCCCAGATGGATACTAAGAAAGATCTCTGGCACCACCTAGTGATCAGAACAAAATCACCAACTTCCTAATAGTTGGAAGTCAGGCTTTCCAAAACCACCCTCAGGCTCTGAGAGGGGGGTGGGCCACTCAAACAGGGGTAAGAAGGGAAACAAGGTGTGGAGCAAGACCCCATCTGGAACTGAGAGCTAGGCACAGGATTCAGGGCATGGGAAATGCCGTAACAGTGGGCACTGCACAAGGTGACAGGCATCGTTTTGGATCTGAGACCCTGAGATTGAGAACTAGAGCCAGAAATCAGGGCAAGGATCCACACAGCCACGAGCACAGCACCAGGCGAACACGGGGCAGACACAGCACCCAGGCCCTGTGTCACGGTGCTCCTCTCCCCCTCCTCCATTTTTTTTTTTTTTTAATCTTAAATTTTATTTTTATATTCCCCCATACAATTGCAAACGCCCCATTCTGACCCCAATCCTTCCCCTCCCGCCCCCACCCCCCAAAAAGTGTCTCTGGTTCATAGTTTTTTGTTGATTTTGATTTTCACTTTCTTATATTCATTTTCCTGGTCCCTTATTTAAGTTTTCTAGATTCCTGCTATGAGTGAGACCATCCGGTATTTTTCTTTTTCTTTTTGGCTTATTTCGCTGAGCATGATCCCTTCCAGCGCCATCCATGTTGCTGCAAATTGCATGTGTTTATCTTTTTTGAATGCTGAGTAATATTCCATGGTATATATGTACCACATCTTCTTGATCCAGTCATCTACTTTTGGGCATTTGGGTTGTTTCCAAAGCTTAGCTATTGTAAACAGTGCTGCTATAAACATAGGGGTGCAGGTGCTCTTTGGAACTGATGTTTCTGTGTCCTTTGGGTAAATACCTAGGAGTGGAATTGCTGGATCATATGGAAGCTCTATGTTTAGTAGGTCCAGAAATCTCCACACAGCTCTCCATAGTGGTTGGACCAGTTTGCACTCCCACCAACAGTGCAGAAGAGTTCCTTTTTCTCCACATCCTCGCCAACATTTGTTGTTGCTAGTTTTTTTAATATGTGCCATTCTCACTGGTGTGAGATGGTATCTCATGGTAGTTTTGATTTGCATTTCCCTGATTGCAAGTGATGTTGAACATTTTTTCATATGTCTGTTGGCCATTTGCATTTCCTCTTCAGAGAAGTTTCTTTTTAGCTCTTTTGCCCATTTTTTGACTGGATTATTTTCTTTGTTGTTGCTGAGTCTCATCAGCTCTTTGCAGATTTTTGTGATCAGTCCTTTATCATTAGTGTTGGGTGCAAAAATGTTCTCCCAGTTGGTGGGGTTTCTCTTTGTTTTTGTTATTGTCTCTTTTGCTGTGCAGAAGCTCTTTAATTTGATGTAGTCCCAACTGTTTATCTTTGTCTTCACTATCACTGCTTTGGGTGATGTGTCTGTAAAGATGTCTTTGATGTGCAAATCCCGTAGTGTTTCGCCTATATTTCCTTCTATGTATTTTATGGTTTCAGGTCTTATGTCTAGTTCTTTAATCCATTTTGAGTTGATTTTTGTGTATGGTGTGAGGTAGTGGTCAAGCTTCATTCTTTTGCATGTAGCGACCCAGTTTTCCCAGCACCATTTATTGAACAAACTTTCTTTGCTCCAATGCATAGTCTTTGCTCCTTTGTCAAAGATTAGTTGACCATAAATCTGTGGGTTTATTTCTGGATTTTCTATTCGATTCCATTGGTCTGTATGTCTGTTCTTGTTCCAATACCATGCAGTTTTGATGATTATGGCTTTGTAGTATAGTTTGAAGTCTGGGAGTTTGATGCCTCCATTTCCTTCTTTTTTTTCAGTAGAGCTTTGGCTATTCGGGGTTTTTGGTGATTCCATATGAATTTCATCAATAATTGTTCTATTTCTTTGAAGAATGCCATTGAGATTTTGATTGGAATAGCATTGAATCTGTATATTGCTTTTGGTAGGATGGCCATTTTAATAATGTTTATTCTTCCAATCCATGAGCAGGGGATGTCTTTCCATTTCTTTGTGTCTTCTTCTATTTCTTTTAACAGTGTTTTATAGTTTTCTTTGTATAGGTCCTTTACCTCTTTTGTTAGATTTATTCCCAAATATTTGATTTTTTTTGTTTCAATAATAAAAGGGGTGGTTTTTTTGATTTCTTCTTCTTCAGATTTATTGTTTGTGTATAGGAAGGCTACTGACTTTTGCGTGTTGATTTTGTATCCTGCCACTTTACTGAACTGACTGATGAGTTGAATTAGTTTTTCTGTGGAGATTTTGGGGTTCTCTATGTATATTATCATATCATCTGCAAAGAGTGATAGTTTGACTTCTTCTTTTCCTATTTGGATTCCTTGGATGTCTTTCTCTTGTCTTATTGCTCTGGCTAGGACTTCCAGTATTATATTGAAAAGCAGTGGTGAGAGTGGACATCCTTGTCTTGTTCCAGATCTTAATGGAATTGCTTTCAGCTTTTCACCATTGAGAATTATACTGGCTGTTGGCTTCTCATAGATGGCCTTTATGATGTTGAGGTATGTTCCTTGTATCCCAAGAATTTCAAGGGCTTTTATCATGAATGGGTGTTGCACTTTGTCGAAAGCTTTCTCAGCATCTATTGATATTATCATATGGTTTTTATATTTCTTTTTGTTGATGTGTTGGATAACGTTGATTGATTTTCGGATGTTAAACCATCCTTGTGCCCCTGGAATGAATCCAACTTGGTTGTGGTGAATTATCTTATGGATACATTGTTGGATTCTGATAGCTAAAATTTTATTGAGGATTTTTGCATCAGTGTTCATTAGGGAGATTGGCCTATAGTTTTCCTTTTTTGTGTTGTCCTTATTCGGTTTTGGTATTAGTGTAATATTGGCTTCATAGAACGTGTTTGGTATTGTCCCTTCCTTCTCAATTTTTTGGAAGAGTTTGTGAAGGATAGGCACTAATTCGTCTCTGAATGTTTGGTAGAATTCATTTGTAAATCCATCAGGTCCTGGGCTTTTGTTTTTGGGGAGGTTTTTAATTACCATTTCAATTTCGCTGCTTGTAATTGGTCTGTTTAGGTGTTCTATTTCTTCTTTATCTAGCTTTGGGTGATTGTAGAGTTGTAGGAATTTGTCCATCTCCTCTAGATTGTTGAACTTGTTTCCATATAACTGTTCATAGTAGTTACTGATTATTCTTTTGATTTCTGCTGTGTCCGTTGTGATTTCTCCTCTTTCATTTATGATTCTGTGTATTTGTGCTTTCTCCCTTTTTCCTTTGTGAGCCTGGCTAGGGGTTTGTCTATTTTATTTATTTTTTCAAAGAACCAGCTCTTGGTTTCATGGATCTTTTGGATTGTTTTTTTAGTTTCAATTTCATTTATTTCTGCTTTGGTTTTTATTATTTCTTTTCTTCTACTGGATTTGGGGTTTTTTTGTTGTTCTTTTTCTAGATCTTTGAGCTTCGAGATTAGGTTGTTTCTTTGAGTTCTTTCTTGTTTTTTGATGTGAGCTTCTATTGCTATATATTTTCCTCTTATTACTGCTTTTGCTGCATCCCATACATTTAGGATATTGGTGTCCTCCTTGTCATTCAATTCAAAGAATTTTTTAATTTCTTCTTTGATCTCCTCATTAGTCCAGTGGTCTTCCAGTAGTGTGGCTTTTAATCTCCATGAGGTAGGATAATTCCTTGCCTTCTTTTTATGATTTATTTCTAGTTTGATGCCTTCGTGGTCAGAAAAGAT